TTCGTGGTGCTCAGTAGCAGTGTGGCAGTGCAGCGGCAGCGAGGATCAATCAGTTAAATGACAAGAATGCGCGTTTGTCCCCTTGAAGTTGCAATGAGAGTTACGTCACGCAGACAATGAATGCACTGCGCGATGGTGTGCTTTCATCCGGAAAAAAGTGACAAGCCCGTAAGAAAAAGCGGGAATTCCACATGAAAAAAAAATATGAGGGCGGTTTAAAGAAACTGGAAGTACACTGGTATCACGCGCGTGACGGAGATCCACTGGGAGGTACTGCTGGACCAATTACACACGATGCTCGTTGCCTTTTTATGAATGAAAGTCTCTCGACGCGCTCGCTCGCGGCGCACGCATGTGGCGCCGCGCCTCGCGCCGACCAAGGCGAAGGGACGAAGGCAGAGGGACGTCCTCGACGACGTTCCGGATTCCACCAAGCAGTCGCCGGAAGCAGTCCGAACACACCGCACAGTGGGCCAGAAGACCGAGGCGGCCAAAACTCTAGACGCGTTTTGAGCTCCAGAGTCGCTGAATGGGACTCGAATCGAACGTGTGAGCCCACCAATGGATTCCTCGTTCGAAGAGCAATCTATTGGTGGGGTCGTCGAAAATGCAAAGGGCCGGCGGGCGAGGCTGGCATGGACAGACAGCCCAAGTGGTGAGGATCTAAAAGGTTTGGTTTGCCGCGTTGGTCGCGCTCGCCGCCCCATCATGTCGTTGGCTGCATGTCCCCCTCGCCGCCGCTCTGCCGCGCCATCCCGCCATCCGGTGTGTTGCCGTTGCCCCGGCCTGCCCTAGGCCCGCCCGCCCGGCCCGCCACGGCCCGCCGGGCTGGGAGGGAAAATCAGCGACGCGAGGGCCGAAGCCTTTTCGACGACGCTCAAAACGCAGCGTGTCAAAATTGTACGGACGGGGACGACCACCACCCAACTGAACTGACGGTGCATTGTCACGTGAAAAACGCGAAGAACGTAACACGCACTGTAAGTCTGATGAGCAGCCTCCGCTCTGTTTCAGCGGTTCCACCGGTAGACTGATTCCGCGAGTCGTTTTCGTCGCTGTGTCTCTCTCGCACTGCGCGGGACGCCCCATGAGTGCGACGGGGACAGAGTGAATATAAACGGATATCCTTCAGGCGGCGGAGGCCTCCTGATGCCTCCTTGTACTACCTTCTGCCACCGACGTCGGCGTCCCGGACTGGAGGGTGACACTAGGCACGGTCTTCTTCTTCTCGGCCGGTCACTGCGCGTCTCGCCGGCACATCGCGTGGACTCTGGTCCGGGGCGGCCGCGGCGGAGCGGTCCTGGACGTCCTGGACGCGGAGCGGCACTGCGCGACGACGCGACGACACACTGGGGACAGCTGATCGCACGGAAGGCGAAGCGCGAAGCAGGCGAAGCGGAGCCCACGCCACCAGTGCCACCAGAGCGGCCACCACACGCCTAAAGCGCAGCTCGCGTAATGGGCGGGCCAGACAGGCCCAGCCTTCAGCCGTGGGCCCGCGGACCGCGAGCCTCGCGGGACGCCCCGCCCCGCCCCGCCCCGCCCCGCCCCGCCCCGCCCCGCCCCGCCCCGCTCCGCCCCGCCCCGCCCCGCCCCGCCCCGCCACACCCCGCCCCGCCACGCTGCCGCGGGGGTCCGAGAGCCCCAATGCAACTTGCACTGTTCCTAGGACCCCCTTCTCCCACCCCCCTCTCCCCCCCCCCCTTCGCCTCCCCAGCCAAATGATAATAGAGGCGCATAGTGACCTATACCTTGTCAGCCCCCCCCCCCCTCTCCCCTCCACCCCTTGACTTTGCCACTCACTGGTTCAGGGGCGCGGCGCGCCCGGCCGACTGCGCCCGCTCTTCCTCGTGGAAAGTCAAAAATAAAATTCATAAAAAATTGGGGCTCTTAAAATTTTTATTCAATGATTTTACATTACATATTTGTTCGTACACACTGCGACACCTTTGTCCACTTGGATTTTCGGAACTGTTTTCCTTGTCGAATCTTCGAGCGATTTTACTGGAACGTTGTCGCTGCAGCTGCAACTGCTGCAACACTGTAAAGCGCGTGGCCCGCGCACTTCCCGCCAGTGCATCATTGGGGATTGTCGGATTGTCATGACGCGTCATGCGACGGCCTTGCGCGGCCTTGAACGGCCTTGAGCGACCTTGAACCCCCGGAAGCTCTCCGTTCGCTGCACTGCCACGGCACTGGCCGCGCACTCCGCCCAGCGACGCCCAGCGCCCAGTGCGTTGATGGCTCATTTTCACGCCGAGGGCTTTTAACTGCGCTGGTGTGGCCCCCGCGGCCCCCGCGGCCCCCGCCTTCGGAAACGACCGCCGCCCGTCCCGCGTCAGCCTGCGTCTGTCTCTGTCGCACTCACGGCGTTCCTGCGCGGCCAGCGGCAGTGCGAGCGAGACGGAGTCATGTTTCCCTCCGCACGCGTCCCCGCGCCGCGGGCGTGGCGCTGCGGGCTTCCGGCTGGTGCTTCCCTTGCGGCTCGGCCACGGCTCGGCACGGCCAGGTTCGAATTTGGCGCCAAACCCGGCACGGCACGCCAGCCAACCCTCGGGACGTTCCGAGGTGCAGCGGCGCACAGTGGGCCAGAAGACTGGCTGGTGGAGGCGGCCAAAATCCCGGACGCGTTTTGAGCTCCAGAGTCGCTGAATGGGACTCGAACCGAACGTGTGACCCCACCAATGGATTGCTCTCCGAACGCGGAATGCATTGGTGGGGCCACACGTTCGGTCTGAGTCCCGTTCAGCGACTCTGGAGCTCAAAACGCGTCTAGAGTTTTGGCCGCCCCCACCGGTCTTCTAGCCCACTGCGCGGTGCAGCGCGACCTCGTGCCGCCAAGGCCGCCAAGGCCAGCCGGTGGCCTTACGCCAGTGCAGAGGATGGGCGAGGCCTTGGCGGCCTTGTGCCTTGTGGGCGAGGCAAGAAAACAGACGCGGGGCGGGGCCGCCAGGGGGCCGCGGCGGGGCGAGGTCGCCTGGGAGGATCGCGAATGCAAGACCGTGTTTAATCGAGTCCTGCCTTGCCAACTATGCCCCAGATGGCGCGCCAGTCGACCGCCGCGGACGGCGCGAACGCAGGCGAGCCGCAAACCGCGGCCCAAGTCCGGAACAGGACACCCAAATCAACAAGGCTGCATGAAGGTGCAGCAGCGCTCCGGACGCGTTTTGAGCTCCAGAGTCGCTGAATGGGACTCGAACCGAACGTGTGACCCCACCAATGGATTCCTCGTTCGGAGAGCAACCCATCGGTGGGGTCACACGTTCGGTTCGAGTCCTTTCTAGCGATTCTGGAGTTCAAAACGCGTCAAGAATTTTGGCCGCCTCCACCGGTCTCTGGCCCTCTTCAGCTTTACGGATGACAGTAGTAAAGGTACCTTTACTACTGATGACGTCCTCTCGGGCTGGTCCGGAGTTCGAATCCCGCCACCATCCGAGCCTTTTGTTGCGGTGGCGGCGTTGCATGGCGTTGCATGGCGTTGCAGGAGGTGGCGGCATTTGCATTCATATTGAATCGATTCAAGCCTGGCTCAAGTCGACGAGTTGGCGAGGGTAAGCAGCAGGCTCGCCTGTCTGTCTGTCTGTCTGCCTGTCTATCTTGTCCGTCCGTCCGTCAGCTGGACGCGCGGATCGCAAGACGCGCCCACCATCGGCACGCCGCAAAGACGCAAGACGCGCCAATTAAGAGACGAGGCTCCACCACGTCTGCGCGGCTGCTGCCCGCCCGTCTGTCTGTCTGTCTGTCTGTCTGTCTGTCTGTCTGTCTGTCTGTCTGTCTGTCTGTCTGCCTGTATGTCCGTCTGTCTGTCTGTCTGTCTGTCTGTCTGTCTGTCTGCCTGCCTGCCTGCTTGTCTGTCTGTCTGTCTGTCCGTCCGCCACCCGCGCGTCGTCCGCGCGTCTGCTGTGCTGCACTGACCTACATCCTGGTCGCTGTCACTTGCACCGCGACTCATCCTTGGCAGATTGCAGTGACCCCTCTGGAAATAGACGGCCGCTTCCGCCCCGCCCCCCCCCGCCCGGCCTCACCCCGCCCCGCCCCACTGCGGTGATGTGCACCTACAATGGAAATGATAAAACAGCGGCGCTCTAAACCGTCCATTGGTTCAGCTTTACTGCGACGACCACTGCAGGCTGGCCACTCCCAGACCTTGCCCTCGACCGCCTCGTGGGTGCGCTCCTGCCCGCCCCGCCCCGCCCCGCCCCGCCCCGCCCCGCCCCGCCCCGCCCCGCCCGCCCGCCCCGCGCTGCACCTCCTGGCCATCGGAAGGGCCATCGCCAGCGGGGCGCAGCAGACTGATTCCGAGAGTCGTTGTCGTCGCCGTGTCCCTCTCGCACTCGTGGGGCGTCCCGCATGGGTGCGAGAGAGACACAGCGACGCGGACGACTCTCGGAATCAGTCTGCGGGAATCATTTCCGAGGGTGTCAATCACTGTGCGGCTACTGGCCCACTGACCTCGCCCTCCCGAGGGAAGGGTAGGGACTCCACGTGGCGCAGGGGTGGTACACTGCAATGCCCTGATTTGGACCTAGGGCAAGCTGTACGGGGTGTTTTGTGTTAAACTAGACTCAAGTATCTTCCTTTGACCGGCGAGGTGACTTGTCGGATGGGTGGCCCTCCTTCACGGCGCCACTGCCCAGAGCACCGCGCCTTGAAGGTAGACCACCCATCCGACACGTCACAGGAATAATGCGGAAAACGAAACTGTGGCTGGGAGTTGAACCTGCGTCTTTGTCTTGGCGGTCGACTCCTCAGCCCCCGCGGCCACTGCAACACAGTCTGCCCGCATTCACTCAGACTGATCCGGACAACCATCAAACCCATCCGAGCAACCTCGACGCGGCACGGGGTATTGCCACAGGGCTCTGCTCCCCGCGCGACGTGTCGACGTGTGTCAGCCGCGCTCTGGGCAGGGTCCCGGGGGCGGCCGCCAGAGGGCAGTGCACTGCCAGAGCGAACTGCGTGGGGAAGTCATCGTGAATGAGAGGAAAGAAATACACGAGCTCACTTTCGTTCGTGACGTTAGCAGTATCGTTAACGTCACCTTTAATTCATAACTGTACAAATTTTTCATACACCATATAACACTCCTATTTCCTATAACAACAAAATGTCTCAAGACATAGATTTGGGGTTGGAACCCTGAAAAGACACACACTATATGAGAGCTGACGAGTTTGCCACAGAGTACTACTTATCATAGCGAAAAAGAACATTATTTAAGGACCTAGTAAGATTATGCTTGTTAAAAGAACAAAATATTTGCCAATATACCTTCCTTCTGGGCCCGTATCAAACACTTTATATTGATCGTAGGCACTAAACATTTCACAACCGAAAATGTCAACAAGAAAATTTCCTGATCCTACCCCACGAAAAGTTCCAAGTCTCGTTGGAGTCTCGTGGCAAACGAAATCGAACCATCTCTCTGAGATCCAATTTAAAGCCATTGCCTGGCCTTCTATCACCATAAATTGAGACGAGTGAAGCAACAAACAAAACACATTTAGACACAGAAATCTGCGTTTTTCATCGAGATTGGCATGGGACAACACCCTAGAGATTCTTTCTCTAGGGACTACACTGTATGACCGTGATTTTTTTTTGGGTTGGGGGATGGGGTGAAAGTTGTCACAGCCTAAATACATGAGAAGGGCGTGTTACCCAGGTCACAGAGGTGAGGTTGGGGGTGATAAACGCGGTCTAAGATGAATCCAATAGCAGTGGCGTGCGCAGAAATTTTGAAAGGGAGGGGTCAGTCCATGCTTTTTGCCTACTTACAGGGGAGAAGTGACGCAATTTGCCTACCTTCCAGGCGCCTTCTAGTGGCCAAAGGGGGGGGTCATGACCCCCCTGACCCCCCTTGCGCACGCCACTGTCCAATAGTGAGTCCTGCCTGCTCATTGGCGCAACGTTCTGGGCTGTTGTTGATTCACTCCTCCCTGCTCTGGTTCATTCCGCTCTTTTCCATTCCCAGCTCCAGCACGCTGTAAGACTCGATCCAGGGCGTTCGTGGCCGACAACAACGAGGGCCACTCGACGGACGGACACTCGAACTCGAAGCCTTTCGACGCTCACAGCCTTTCAGTGAAGCGGTGTAGAGGCGTTCCGGGCGGCCGGTCGGACCCTGAAACAATCATTTTTAAAAGTTCAAAAACAACAACAACAAATTGTTGACAATGCGCGTCATCCTTTGACTTGCCCCGGTCAATCTGTGGGGCGGGGCTTTGCGTCACATCGTGCAAAGAAGGGGGCTGGCCGCTCGAGCAACGCAAAGGAGCTTACCGGGGTATCGTGTGGGCGGCGACGCGGCACGGGGCACAGTGGGCCAGAAGACCGGTGGAGGCGGCCAAAACTCCAGACGCGTTTCGAGCTCCAGAGTCGCTAAATGGGACTCGAACCGAGCGTGTGACCCCACCAATGGATTGCTCTCCGAACGAGGAATCCATTGGTGGGGTCACACGTTCGGTTCGAGCCCTGCTAAGCGACTCCGGAGCTCAAAACGCGTCTGGAGTTTTGGCCGCCTCCGCCGGTCTTCTGGCCCACTGTGCGGGGCCCTGGCCATCGCCTCCGGCTACGAGCCAGTGCGTACACCGTAAGTGCGATACTTACTGTTGAACTTGTGGGGCCCGGGGTTGGGGAGGGACAGGGCGAGCCCCGGCAGCCCCGAGTCGGCCCACTGCGTCCACGCGCTGAGCGGGTAGCCGGGCTCCTTGTGGACGGACACGTCGAGGCCTGGAAACAACGGCAAGGGTCACTCTTTCTGATTCAGATCGTCGCTCTGTCTCTATGCAGAGAGAGAGAGAGAGAGAGAGAGAGAGAGAGAGAGAGAGAGAGAGAGAGAGAGAGAGAGAGACCCACCTTTCAACTCCTCCTCCTCCGTGACGCGCAGCAGCCCGGAGACCCGCAGCACGGTGAACATGATCACGCTGCAGCACAGCGACCACACCAGGATGGCCAGCGCGCCCGCCGCGTTGCAGGCCAGGAACTGCGAACAACGAAACCGCAAAATAAAATTATTTACACAAATATTTGCACTAAATTTATCGATTTCAGCCGCAGTGAATGTCCGCTCTTGATGGCCTTCTCCTTGTCCCCGCGGCCCGGAGCGTCCGAGAGCCTTCCGCCATAGGTAACAACGCCTTACTGTGCGCTGTGCGGCCTCCTCGCCGGCCTTGGCGTTGCCGGGCACAGTGGGCCAGAAGACCGGTGGAGGCGCGTTTTGAGCTCCAGAGTCGCTAAATGGGACTCGAACCAAAAGTGTGACCCCATCAATAGATTCCTCGAACGGAGAGCATACTATCATTGGTGGGGTCACACGTTCGGTTCGAGTCCTGTTTAGCGACTCTGGAGCTCAAAACGCGTCTTGGATTTGGCTACCAACGCCGGTGTACTCTTTGGTGGTGATGGAGGTGGCGGTGCTTACCGACAGCGACTCGGAGGTGACCGAGTACAGGATGCCGTCCGGGGTGAGCAGCGGCCCGGCGAACAGCCCCCAGAAGCCCGCGCCGAGGTGAACCGGCGCCGCGTCCAGGGGGTCGTCGACTGCAGAGCACAACGACGTCAGTTAGGCGTGACGCACAGACTCATTACGAGTGTCTGTCTCTCTCGCACTCGTGGGGCATCCCGAGAGGTGCGAGAGAGACAGAGCGACGGGGCCCGGAGGAACAAGCAGGGCAGTAAAGCGTTACCTTGGAGACGCAGCAGCAGGACGTGCAGGCCCAGGAAGAAGACCGCGCCCACCGCCCCGGTCACCACGGCGGCCCACATGGCGAGCTGGTTCACGGCGCCGCACACCGACACCTGGCGAGCCGTGGCGAGCACACCAAGGGCATCAGCATCAACAAGAAAATCAGGCGGCGCACAGTGCACCACCGGTGGAGGCGGTCAAAATCCCGGATGCGTTTTGAGCTCCAGAGTCGCTGATTGGGACTCGAACCGAGCGTGTTGCCAGGGGGCGGCAACGGCCTAGGAAGCGCGTGAAGCCATGCGCGAGTAAGGTGCATTGGTTTCTTATTTTGCTTCGATTGTAAGATCTAGCCCGTTGATTGCAAAACGCTTTGCACAGATCAAAAGAGCACAAAATTTGGGGTGCATTAGGCCTAGTAGACTGCCCGATACTTCCAATTCAACCGAACACAAGGGTGGAACCATTTACATCAACATGGCGCATTCGAGTTTTTCCTAAATTTTATGATTTCTCGTGTTTTTAGGTGTTTTCACTGCACCTTAATGTCAGGTAAGGTGAGAGTTTGGAGAAGAGCAATTAGCCTAATGCACCCTAAATTTCAAGCCCTTTCCATCGGTGCAAAGCGTTTTGAAGAACACAGTCTAGTTTTCATAATCTCGAACAAGTGCGCAACCTCTGCACTGACGGCGCGAGCATCGCTTCACGCTCTTCCTAGGCCGTTGCCACCCCCTGGTGTTGCTCTCCGAACGAGGAATTCATTGGTGGAGTCACACGCACGGTTCGAGTCCGGATTAGCTACTCTGGAGCTCGAAACGCGCCCAAAGTTTTCGCCGCCTGCGCCGGTCTTCTGGCCCACTGTGCGGCGGTGCCGGTAGTCGAACCCTCGACCCTCACCATCCCGGCCAGCATGGCGTTGGTGGGCACGGCGAAGCCCCAGGCCGGGTTGTTGACGGCGCCCAGCCGCACCGCGAACAGGCCGCACAGCGCGCCGCCCGCGCCGGACAGCACCGTGTTGACGACGGCCTTGGCCACCGCGGCGCCGTCGCCCGGCGCCGAGATGCTGCCCTGGGAGCCGCCGTTGAAGCCGAGGAAGCCGGCCGCCAGGATCAAGGCGCCCACGCCAGTCAGCTGCGGGCCAGAGGGTTAGTCTTTGGTCGCTGAATGCGACTCAAACCGAACGTGTGACCCCACCAATGGATTGCTCTCCGAACGGGGAATCCATTGGTGGGTTCACACGTTCGGTTCGAGCCCCATTTAGCGACTCTGGAGCTCAAAACGCGTCTGCAGTGAGTTTCGGCCGCCTGCGGCGGTCCCGAGGGCGGTCCTCCGGCAAATCCACTGTGGTCCTCACCGGCGTGGAGTGGCCCGCCAGGTCCTGCACCTGGCCGCCGACGAAGCGGCCCTTGCGGGGCCCCATGAAGACGCAGCCCGCCAGCGCGCACGCGCCGCCCACCAGGTGCACCACGCCGGAGCCGGCGAAGTCCCTGAAGCCCAGCACGTTGAGCCAGCCGTCGTCGTGCCAGGCCCAGTGCGACACGGTGGGGTACACCACGCCTGGAACGGAACGGAACGCCACGGGCAGGGTGTCACACTTCGCAACATTCACCTCCTGCCCGAGTGAGCCAAGTTCAAAGCCTTCCCAAGATTATAGTCAAACTGCCAAACAATATTTGCAATGTCCGTCTTTCTTGGACGAGCTTTACTACAGCAGCGAAAGTTTTGACGCGGGCTGTACTCCGCGCGCGCCTGCGAGGTAGGCCACACAGAGCGCAACGCGTGCGTGGCGTTTTGTTTTGGGCTGCTGCGGGTGCTTGGCTTCCGGTTTTGTCTCCGGCATTGATCCACTTCCGGTATTTGTCCACTTCCGGTTCCCAGTGGAGGCACGCACCGGAGATGAGGGCGCTGTAGCAAAGGTAGGTGACGAAGCGGCAGCGCTCCGCCACCGAGCCCGAGATGATGGTGGCCGCGGTGGCGGCGAACGTGAACTGGAAGAACCACTTGGACATCCGGGGCTGGCCCGCGTCGCCGACCCCGAGGCCGGCCCACAGCGAGCCGCCGAAGAAGGCCCCCAGAGGCCCCGAGCCCGACCCGAAGGCCAAGGCGAAGCCCACCAGCCAGTACAGGATGCCGCTGATGACTGAAACAGGCAATGGACCATCATCTGCAGGCAGTGGGCCAGAAGACCGGTGAGGCGGCCAAAACTGACGCGTTTTGAGCTCCAGAGTCGCTAAATGGGGCTCGAACGAACGTCTGACCCCACCGATGGATGCCTCGTTCGGAGAGCAATCCATTGGTGGGGTCACACGTTCGGTTCGAGTCCCGCTTAGCGACTCTGGAGCTCAAAACGCGTCAATGCCAGGTTCACTGCTCCCTCGGCCGTGCGCCTCGATCGGCTTCCTCTGGAGCAAGGTCACTGGAGCAAGGTCGCTGGGCCATTTTTATGCAGTCGGGGTGATCGCCTGCCTTCCCGCTCCAGCGGCCGCGGGTTCGGAAACTGGTTTCCGATTGGCAGTGTGGCAGTGAAAAGGCGAGACCACTGGTACGGTACTTACACATGTCCAGGACGTTCTTGAGCACGATGTTGGTGACGTTCTTGGACCGGATCGACCCGGCCTCCAGGCATGTGAAACCGGCCTGCATGACTGCAACACAAGGGGCCATGTAGTTTACTTCTTTTTTTTTCATAAATTTCCGGCATAGACGGATTTTTGTTATAGTGTACGCACATACGACCACGATGCCGTTGCCAATGAGAAAGACATCGTCGACGTTGCTCCGGAATTCTTCGTCTGTCGAGAACGAGGGTGCCGCTGTGCTGTTCAACGCCGCCATGGTGGTCGCTAGAAAAAACAAAGTTCTGTTAAATTCAATAATTATTTTTAGGGTAGTTTTTCTCCTTTCTCTTGCTAAATCACCCAGGTAGGTGAAGCCTTGGCCTAACAGAGAGACTACTCGGTGTTTGGCGCAGGGGATGCGCGTCGCCTCGCGACCTCGTTGAGATTCTAACTGCGTCCAAGTGGTTCCGCCCCGCCCCGCCCCACCCCGCCCCGCCCCGCCCCACCCCACCCCCGCCCCGCCCCGCCCCCCCCACCCCACCCCGCCCCGCCCCGCCCCGCCTTTGGAAGCCGAAGCGCGAACACAATCGGGCGGGCCAGCTCCAAAATTGTATACGCACGTCTGTTTCGCCTCTCCGCCCCGGCAACGCGCGTACAAAGCAACAGAAAAAAAGGATTTAAAGGACACGCTTAAAAAAAGACAGGACATTGGAATTTTTCTGCTTAAAAATGCGAGGATTTTTATGTTTTCCTTTAAGCAGACATCGCGGGCTAGTCCGGGGACACGTAACAAGTAACAAGCGGGATGATTGGTGCCCAGTGTCAACGCTCCAATTACCATGGGGATTAATGGCAACCCCTCCCCCCCCCCTCCCCTCCCGCACCGCCCTGGGAGTGGCGCTATCCCCACCAGCCACTGCCGAAGACCCGAACGTACCGCGTTCAATGTCCACGACGCACAGTGGGCCAGAAGACCAGTGTGGGCGGCCAAAACTCTGGACGCGTTTTGAGCTCCAGAGTCGCTAAATGGGACTCGAACCGGACGTGTGACCCCACCAATGGATTGCTCTCCGAACGAGGAATCCATTGGTGGAGCCACACGTTCGGTTCGAGGCCTCTTTAGCGACTCTGGAGCTCAAAACGCGTCTAGAGTTTTGGCCGCCTCGACCGGTCTTCTGGCCCACTGTGCGACGGCGCGTTCGAATATTTCAGCGTCCGAAACCACTTGGGGCACTTTAAAGCACTGCTAAATTCTTAAAAATAAAAATGCTCGCGCGCGCTAAATTCTTAATAAAAGGCGCGTGTCGGTGGAACTCTGTGGGGTGAAGGGATGACCGCCGTAACTCCGGGTAAGTGACAGTAACCGCTGGAAGAGTCTGGGAACCCTTAATGAGGAGGAAGAGCGGGAGTCGCGGCGGGCCGGTCACGGCGTCACGCCGCCACGGCCACAGTCTCGAGCTCGGCCACAGCCTCGGCCACAGCCTCGGCCTTGGCAGTGTGCTGAAACCAAAAGACTGGAGACAGAAAAACTCAACCCTTTCCCAGTTCGCTTCCCGAAAAGTTCTCCACACTCTGCGGCGGCTGAGCAGATTCGGCAAAATATGGAGTCTTCTTTGCCTCGCACCGCGCCCGGCGTCGCGTCGCGTAAAGTTGAAGCACGAGAAGCAACGCAGAAAACAGTTTGTGGCAGTGTGCTTGTTCCCGCTTCCGACCCGAGTTCCGGCCGAGACAACGGCTGGGATGCGCAATCTGTGCCTTTACGCTCGGACCGGGTCTTAAGCCCGAAGGCCCGCCGAAGGCCGTCCGAACGCACGCCGAGGGATGCCGAAGGGTGCCGAAGGGTGCCGAAGGGTGCCGAAGGGTGCCGAAGGGTTCCGAGTAGCGACCATGAACAAGCGCCACAGCAAAGCGGAAAACCCCAAAAACACAAAACAAACAAAAAGACTCGAAAAGACTGCTTATAATTTGGGGGACGGGCGCTGGCTCCGCTGGCTCGCCGCACGAATAACGGGTGCGTGTCATTTTTTTTTGGTGGAGCCGGGGGCCTGCAGGGCCTGCAGGGGCGAGAGATGACGACCCACTGGCGTATCAAGGCACGGCCCACTGGTCACGGCCTCGCGCACAGCCACGGCGCCACGGCACACTGCCACGGCACAGCGCCCCCGTCCGTATGCAAAGGAGCCCGGCCCGCCTCGCCACTCGCCATCACAGAACGGCGGAGTCGCGGCCCTCCAGGTGCCGCGGATCTCTCTCTCTCTCTCTCTCTCTCTCTCTCTCTCTCTCTCTCTCTCTCTCTCTCTCTCTCTCTCTCTGAGTGTATTTTTCATTTCCAGGGCGTTACGTAACAAAGGGCCGATACGACGCGACGACGCACTCCTCGCAGTGCTCCAGCGAGGGGAGGGCGCAGGACGCGGAGGGAGTCTGTCAACACGATCGGGTCGCCGGGTGGCCGCGGGGACTCGGCGCGTGGCTGCCAGCTCGCCTGGCTGCCTGGCTGGCTGCCTGCCTGGCTGCCTGCCTCCAGGCGGGACGGACCGCCTCTCGTCGCCCTTTGCAGAGGGCGCTCCAAAGTGCCAGGACTGCCGGGACGACTCATCAAGACTGGAGACAGTTTCGCTTCAAGATCAGTGCCCCCTGGGAGTCCTGTGAGAGTCCTGGCAGGGCCAAGGATCGTTGAGGGGCGCCAGAAATTGTTTGGTGAGTTTCGCTCCGCCGATTCCTTCCCTCGCGCGTGTGGACGCGAT